TATCAACGTAACCACTACACAGAATTAGCCTATGTATTTAAACTACAACTACAGAAAACGCAAGATTAAAAGACGTGGCGGTTCGATGTAATATTTTAACCAAACACGAAGCCATGCAATACACCGCGTGAGCGTTGCTCTCCACAACGTGCATTCGCGGTCATTCGTTAGTTACCAATACCAATAAAGCTATTCAGCCTACTTTTCACGGCCTCTTCTCAGAAATACTAATGAGTTTGCTGGCAGTTGAGTTGTTAACGTTTATCGTATATTTATATGTAGCAGCTCCGCTGGCAAACGGGTGGAGAGGTCTGGTTAGGGAGCAGGAGGTGGAGTCTGGTCGTCCTGGTTATGGAGTGTTCAGTTATTATTTTTCCCCATCATGCAAAACCGGTAAAAGTGCCGTTTATCGTGGGTTGTGGTTGGTTTCAAAGAGGCCAAGTCGAAAACTTGCATCTGAAACCAAGAAGATGACTGAATTGAGGTTATAAATCTGTTATGTTCTCCGCTGTTAATGACTTCCTTGATATGTCAGCATATATAACCACACACACAGTAAGGATGTAGATCAAGAGAGATGGCCAACATCACTTAAAACCGAATACATTTAAAAGTTCCCAGTTATTCCTGACAATTTAATTATACTTACATTTTATGTGTAGAAAATGTTTGGTTTTCTATAAGACTCCCAATATAGCCTATATTTGTTTCTGGTTTTGAAACCTATTCAGAGAGGGTCCTTTGGTGGATGAATGTGATGTCAGAAAGCAGTGTATCTCCTACAGAGGCGATATCTTTCACGATGTGTTTTAGGTCAGACCAAAAATGCTAGGTGTTGTTATTTCAGCTAATGCCAATGTAGGCCAGGTTTAAAATTTCAGAGGATGAGCTGAGGCCAAGCTGGTCAGTGAAACTGGTTAAAGCACAAGTAAGTTTAGAAATATACTAAACCAAGTGCCTCTCAAATGTCAGTTAGCGATGTGATGAGTGTTTTGGAGGATAAGGTGGATGTACTGAAGGTTAATATATGGTTTCTTGGACTTTAGGAGAAAAAAAATTGATCACTGGATACCAGTTGTTGTCTTACAGCTACAGGGGTTGCAGGTTTGAATTTAATCTCTCTTTCTGTCTGTGAGCCACATGTGCTGTGTTCTTACGGGTACCACCATAGTACTCTGGGTTCCTGCCATAATCAGAAGACCTGATATTCAGGTGATGCAGCAAATCACTATGGTATGTCAATCAGCAGAAAATGCATGGACAATTAGTCCAGTAATATACAGAGTGACTTATATATGCTTCACCAATTCATTCCATTATCATATCTATTTTATTGAGTGATTTCAGCTTTAGCTCCCTGCTCAGTGGTGAACTACAGGACCCCCTCTGAACTGTCATCCCTTTGTCCAAAAATGCAGTTTTATCAATGTGGCAGCAGGATAATCTGTTCACAGGCCACAAGCTCAGCAATCATTCTTGGAGTGTCTCTGTTGAAGGCTGGGGATGCAGTGTCGCATTCATTGCATTTCTGAGTGTGAAAATGCGACGGAGTGAGTTGTTGTTAGGCACACAGCAATACCAAGTCAGGAAGTGTCCCGTCCAAAAGTGATTCACAGCCTAGACATGGGCGCATACTCTATTTCAGTTTCCACAAATCTCACCTAGTCCACGATAATTTTGCCATGTGTGAGGAGGGCTGGGAAACAATGTGAGGACCTTCTGTGAAGGTTTTTGCCATGAAAAGCAGCATGAACCCCCTGGATTAAAAAGTTAACCTAATTCAGGTGGACATCATCTTGCTCCAATGAACCTCTTTGAGAAGTTAGGTGAAATGCAAAATTACTATTCACCGATGTCAGAAAGCCCCAATATCAAAGCGCAAGGAAAATCAGTCACTGTGGCAAACATATGGTTAGATGTTGGTCCATTTCTGACCATTTTGTGTTTTAGGCACAGGTGGCTCTAACTTCGAGATTGGTTGGTTCTGAAAGAGATGACTCACTTATGGGCAACTAATGTAGTGTTTTTTGTTGGGTGGGGGCGTCTTGAAACCACAAAGCTGTTAATTCAAATCCCAGGACCCTGACTGATGCTGGTGATGTACACTTGAGAAACATACTCAACCTGAGCAGATTCTGGAAGATGGTGTCCAGCTTCATGAATAGCTTGATTTGTCACCATACATACAAAGAAATCGCTGGACAGTAATTGTGATGCGAGCACAAGGGGTCGAGCATATGTTTCTATGGGGGAGGCGGAGTCTCTTTGTACCACTAGTGGGGGGTCAGGAGTCATAGGGTTGAGAACATCTTGGATGAGGGAGCAGGAATTAGAGAGGAAGGATAAGAAAGGAAGTTGGGGGTTTGAAAGGTTTCCTGTTCTTCAGCTGTGAGGAGAAATGGTCAAGAATCCAAAGGGAGATTGATAAAATAAAATAAAATCAAGGGTCTTTGCAAGGTATGGAGGAGGTTGTAGAAAACAGCTTACAGTTATTTATGGGAATAATGTGGATTTTGGTGAGATTGTCTGAAGCGGGCAGATGTGATGGACATGAAGTGAATTGAATTTTAGATTCTGTTCAGCCTTTTTATGGTGAAACCTGAATTTAGCAAAACCGATTCAGGACTGGAGTGAGAAGGGGCTGATTCAGAAGGAGGGCCTCACATGAAATGGATGCTGCATCAAAAAGATTTGACAATTGGCAGAGAGGGAAAAAAGTAGGAATGCAGAGTGCAAAGGTTATGGAGGATGGTTATAGTATATGTTTTTTTTTTGGGGGGGTGCAGTGGGCAGTAAGGAAACCAAAGCTGTTTGGTAACAGGACTATTTGATTTCATGGTCACAGTTAGCTACACAGCTGGTTTAATTTCTTGGTTTGACTGGAAAGTCTTTGGTGTTTGTTTTTGACAGAACTATGCTGGATATAGGATGTTTGTTTCCAACATCTATCTTCAGTATTTGCACCACGAATTCTTTCAAGATCTCGGTTGTTTATGCTTTTTAGAAATCTACAGTGAATGATCTAACGGTTTAGCAGGTGTCCACCTGAACATAACTGATTACTTCCTTATGGACGGGAGGCTTTTCAATCATTATGGAAAATCTACATGGTTCAAAATACTTCCTTCCTTTTTGCATATTAATTTAAGTATTTAAGTAGCATTCAGTGGTAACTCCCTTCTCTAACCTTATTCAGAAATAGGGGATCTCGCTTATTTACGCTGTATTTTTCTTTGGACGGAAATCCTTCGCTTTGCAGTAGCAAGACCAGGGTAGTGTAGATATTCGGTCAAAGGAAAATAGTCAGTCGCCTGCATCTACCTGCAGTGTAACCCTATTAATTATGCGGACTTTAAAAATAAATTTAATAAGTTTTGGTCATTTTGGCATAGTCAACGATAAAGTTTCCTTCTACATCGTCAGTCCAGCTAATCAATGTCACGGCTGCCAAGGCAGTTATCTTTTGAATGGGAGAGGTGAATTTAACTAGTGTATTCCAATTTGCCTCCATAGTAAGCGTTGTACTAAAATGCATTGTGCTTTTTTCGTGTCAATGCGCGATACTTCGGCTCATGCACAACAGTTAAGTAGGATTTCCACACCCCGAAGGGTCTTGTGTCCTCGTGTTAATGCCGCTGCAACGTTGGAGCAAACGCTATCTTTTCAGGCTCCTTTTTGTTGGTTGCTTTGGACTGAGTTTTGTACTTCTTGTACAGTTTAAGGAAGAAGAAGACAACGTTTCTGCGCACATTTCTTTATGTTGTGTTTGAATGTCGCAGAACACTGTGCCTTTATTACCGTAATCTGTATTTTCACTTTGCCACTTAGGGTTTTTCAGTTTAGCGCACCGTTGCGATCCCCTTTCCCCTTCAGCGGCTATATTTCCGCGGTGCATGCTGGTATTTGAAGTCCGTACTCCTCCCTTGTTTGGCCTTAAACTTTGAGGGTGTGGTAGCGAGACACTACAAGTCCCACATTTTCAATTCTCCACTGCCCCTCTCTCTCCCATCGGAGACTGAGATACGGTACAGACAGTCTTGACGAACCCCCCCCAGACTTTCAGAGCCGAAAACGGACGAGATTAGTGAACTGCTACGGACTATAACGAAAGACACGGAATTCACATGTCCTTTGATGTATTACTCTCATTTACCAACTAAACAAACGGGTTTGTGACTGTTTATATAATTTGACATAGCTACCTTGCAGGCTGATTATTTTTAACGAATTATTCAGTACCGGAGTGGAAAAGGAATCGGTTCGAGTCTGAAGATCCTATTTATAAAGCTAGGAAGGTTCGTTCAGGGCCGAGGGAAGACGGTCTTGCAGATACTCTGTGTCGGTACAGTCGGATACAGATAGCTGCCTTAAACATTGCCAAGCGGTGTGTAGCCTAATGTAGACGAATGGGCGCTCCGGGTTAGACTTCGCTGCGCAAGGATCTCGAACCGCCTGTTATTTTCAACACATCCTGAGAGTAACGTTGCCGATTGTGTCACGTACAGTAACTCGTCGGCGGGCGATAAGTTACACGCAGCCTTGTTACATTTTTGCACCTCCTATACTTTATGTCGGAATGTCCAAACACTGGGCAAAAAAGTGCAAATGGTCCTCCCGTGTGCGAGGCTCTAGCTGTGAATATTGCCTTATGACGAACATAAGGTCGGGATATTGTCTTATCGACTGCAATCGCATTATGCAGACTCTACCCCTTTGGCTTTGGATATTCCTGGGTAGAATGAATTTGTGCCTTGAAGTTTGGAGTGTTAGCTTGGTTTTTAGAAATCTGACTGGGTCACCGATTATTGTTAGCTAACGTGTCAGGGACGTTTCGGAGGCAGTTTGGTCACATCGTGGCCGCCTGTGCATACAGGGGGCAGAGATTGCAGGACGTGTTCGACTGGAAATTAGCCGCGAAATGCAGTTGTGACAGTTTTGTAGTTGAAGGCTTATGTGCTCGGCGTCATGAAGCCGTTTTTTCTTAATTTGGTATAAATTGATTGGCATTTTGGGAGTCGCATTGTTCTTCCAGCCTCAACATTTTGGATCACCTGAGAAGCACTCGGGGGTCCCTTCGTTTTCCGAGATCCCCCTTACGGAGCGGGCGGCTCGTTTCGGGGCAGACCTGCGAACTGAAGGAAAACCCCGACGAGTGCTGTGCACTTCAACATCGACGGCGATACGGCAGCCCGATCCCGCACCAGGCTCGGATGCACCGAAGTGTCTTGACTACATTATCAGCATCCCCGTAGACTTGTCTCTCTGTGTATATGTGTGTCTGTGTGTGTGCGTCGGATCGGCGCTGCGCAGACGGCGGACGAGGAAGCGAGTCAGTGTACGCAGCCAGCGAAGGTGGTTTATTTTCGTCGCGTTGCCTCATTGTGAATAACATCATCAGCGGACTTGGAGTTAGACCGCGGACCCACGGTCTTCGTAATCCGTCCTGGCGCAAGGGGCTCCGGGGTGAGCGATCGCACGGAGAGATCGGTCTCCTAAAGAGAGGCGGTGATACGCCGCGCAGCATCAGCGCGAACGCCGATTAAAATAACGTCGGAGTAATGCTGCCACGGGTCATTGTCCGGAGTGTTACAGCGCCGGCGAGAGGGCTGGGCGATGTCCGCTTAGGGCTTCGGGAGACTTGCTTATTGTTTGAGGAAAGTGTAAACATTCACGTTTGGGTCGTGGACGTGCTGTTTACAGGGCTGGTGCCCCCAGTTAAACTGCTTTTATGTTACGTCCAACTGCTGTGGCATCCTGTCCTTTTTAATGAACAAATAGCATTGGTGGTGTAAACATGTCAACAAATATTAAAATGCTTTCATCAGCTATCAATATTTTTCGTTTCCTGATATAGATAGCACTTTTCTGTACGGATGGAAGGTATCTGACCATTAAAAGCAGGCATCGTAAAGGAAAGATACCCGACAATTGTGTAGAGTTTTACACTTTTCGGAAACGGGTATTTTACATAAAAAGAGTGTAGCCTACCTGTTCGTCGTATTTTCATTAGTCTTTTTTACGTAAGTTATAATGCCAAAGATTACGCTGAATATTGGTTTATAGGGACTCTGAAGTTACGGGGAGAAGTATGAGTTGAAAAAGTTGATCACTTTTATGAATAGGCTTAATTGTAAATTAGTGGGAAATATTTTATCCCGAGTGCACACCAGATGAAGTTGATTGCTCCTTCTTCAGTGTGGATTTGGCTCAGTGCTGATGTTGGTGCTCTTGTCGATGTTTCAGGGTTTCTGCAGTGATTCCTAAAGCCAGGCAAAGCCATACCCAAATACTCTTCCACATTGGCTTGCACTGAGAGCCCCCATCGTAATTCCAGTGATCCCCTCCCGCCAGTTGAATCAACCCCATCACTCTGCAACAGCGTACCTGGATGGGTCATCAGTGGCTGTGCACCCACCCCTTCTCAAGGGACAGTGAGGGATGTCACGGAGGGTGGGGGTTATCGGTAGGCAGGGTATTACCAGGCTGGGAAGTAAAGGCATTTGGAATATTCTGGTTAAAATGGAGTGTTGCATGGACAGGGAAAAGCAGTGCGCGTTACAGTTTCTTAGCCTCTATCTTATACAAACCACTGAGGGATCCATGATCCAGGGATTGCAGCTGCCTTCCAACATCAGACTGTCATGTGTTTGGGATGAGATGCGACCAGCTTACTCCGGTTCTCTTGGCCGTGTGACACCGGACTCCAGACAGGGCGGAGCTCTCAGAGATCGTCCCCGGCCTGCCGGCGTTTCCACTGAGTTTTTTCAGGTGGTGCTTCCTAGAGGAACTGGAGTCTTTGCATTTTCTTTAAAAACGGATGGTTTGACATCCTTTTGGCTGCTGCTCAAAGGAAAAATCTGGTGATGTCTTTCGAATACATCCCTCATTTGTGAACAACAGTTTTGGGTGACACAGCATTTGAACACTCTTTTCATTCAAGATGATTCCTGCATAATCATGCTTTTAATTCAGTTTTTTTAAAACTAACCTGCAGTGCTTCTTATGTGAAGCTATGCTGCATCTTCCCAGTGTTCCCAGCTCTGACATGGAGCCTGCAGCCTTCTTTGGGGAACTGACATTTTCTGCAGAAGTTTTTGCTGGAACCAGGTCCCCCACATCCTGGGCATTTCAGCAGGAACTCGAAGCCGCCTGCTTGCAGTTAAGCCAGTGTGCAGCCCAGCTCAGACTTTTAGGACCTAAATATTTACAGTCAGGTGACTGAGAGGAAAAAACTTGCGGGAAGCACAAGCTCCCTGGTGGCACTCTGGTCGGAGCGGCCCCCCTCCCTTCTTTAAACGGGGTATGAGTTCAGTCCCCTTTGTCTCATGTTGAGAGGGTTCGTCTGCTGGGTCTCTGTTCCGGGCTCTGTGGCGCCACCTATGCACCACTGGAGGTGAAATCGAGCAGGTCTCACTCTCCTTTGAGAGCGTCGTGTCGCTCGGTGATACCGACTGACAGCGTGCATGTCGGTGGACGAGTGTCCTGCCCTTCATCCGTCCTGAAGCCAACGCTGGAAGCATGTAGGAGGGAGACACAGCTGTAAATCGCATCTCCTTATTTGCCTCTTACCTTTCTTTTTGAATCTGTTAACAGAAATGTTATTGTGAAACATGCAAAGATTATCTGCCAGTTGTGAGGAAATATAGCTGTTGCCACATACCATCTTGTCAAGAATAGTTGCTACAGAGGTACCCAATGGAGTGTGAGGTGCTTGGCTTTGACATCGGATAGGGATTGCTTGCACTAGCTGATGCAGAAGGTAGCATATTCCTGGGTATTTTCGAGTCTGAAATTTCCAAAAGTGATGCATCCCATAACTAGGAGAAAAAAGTCCTCAAGAAGGATCAAGTGTTAATCTCTGGCCTTGTTTTTATCCATGGAAGGCGATTGCTGACGGCTACAAACAGACACTCATGCCAACTGATGGAAGGTTAAATCAGCATGTGCCTGATTTTCCATCCTGACTATATGCGTGTCTTTTGTTCTGCTCTCTGTACCATCGCCTGAATCGTCTCCTGCTTACTGTCTTGTAATTTTTGTTGTTACTGACAGGTGTATTGCTTTAATTTCACAGAAAAGCTGTGCTTGTGTTATTTCCTGTTTGTAAACATAGGAAATTGGTTCGGCTGCAGGCAGATGATAGTCAGATTTTGTTACTCGAATTGTGTGCAAATGGCAATTGACACTTGTCGGGGCTAAATATTAAATGGATATTTAATTATTATAATTTTGTATTTGGAATGTTATATGGACCTGTGCTTCAGTGTGTGAAAGGTATCGTAATTATTATTAAATGTCAAATAATAGGGCAGCATAATTTTCCCTTGTATATTGAAAAGCATTATTAAAGGGGGGAAGAATCAGCTATGGGGGCTTCGAGGTAGATGAAAAGTAACAGATAATGGCTGCTTAAGATGTATGGGTTTCTGAATTGTCCAGGGTTCACGCACGCAGCTCCCACGCATGTGGCAGCCCTAATCAAACCCTCTGTCTCCAGCAGAGCATCGCGGACAGAGGATTCGGCGGCTGCTGACCCGGCCAGGCTCCCGCTACGGAATGCCGCGCTAACAGCCATCATATGCAGGTAATGTGCCGCGAAAGGCCGGCTCACTCGTTAATACCGTCACTAACGATCACTCAGAGGCTAATCTATAACAAAGCAGCCAAAGTTGATTTTAAGGTTTAGTTAAATTAAAGCTTCTCCTGATTATTCTTGGATTAAAGTGTCAGCATCGCCGGCCTCTTTGGTTTCACGCTCTCTGGTGGAGCAGGTGGATCCCACTCTGGCGAGCGCGGCTGATGGCGACACAGTGAGCTTCGCCGGCGGCCCTCCGTGTGCGGCGCCCAAGAGCATGGTGGGCAATCCGCCGCAGACGCTGTCCCCGGACCTCCGTGGAGACGTGCCTTCTGGCCAGCAGGAGCGGCCGGCAGCGGCGGCAGACGGCAAGACCTCGAAAGGAGGCCCTGCCAATCCTTGCCCGGGGGTTGCCCCCGAGCCACAGAACGGCGGCGAGACTCTGAACGCCGAGCCGCACAAGAAAGCTGACGTTGCCAGTGCTGGCACGGCCGAGGCCGCGGGGCCGTTTCCCGCTCAGCAGCGATCTTGCGGCAAGAAGGCCAGTCAGGAAGCGCCCCTAAATGCCGAGCACAGCAAGGCGAACCCAAACAAAGGGACGAAGAGCCAGGCCCATCCCATAATAAGTCTTCCCCCGGGGTTTCATTGCTCATCCCTTTTCAAACCTGGTCAGCCTGTGGCCTTCCTTCCCACCTCAAACTTGGGCTCATCCTTGTGCAAGATCACACTGCCACCCGGGCTGGGCCCGATTGCGGCGCTGAGGGATGCCACAGCCAACCAGTTCCCAGTGGAGCCACCACCGCAGAGCACCAGCTCCAATGTGACGGCCCAGCTTACGGGTGCCTACGGGTACCACTTCTCTATGGGCCTGGCTCCCGGCCCCACCCCTGCACCTACTCCTGAGAGTAAGCCCCCACCGGCGGCAGTGAAGCTGAAGAGCAGTTCCACGGCGGGCAGGAGTTCCAAAGTTGGCGCAGACCGCGGTTCTTCGGTCGGGCTTGTGGCGTCACCCACTATAGGCCTGCCGTTGAAACAACCGGCGTTGAGTTGGGCCCCACTAGTCCCTCCCGTCTGCAGTAGCCCCACCCTGGCCAGCGTCACCCTGCATAGCAGGCTGCCAGACCACACTGAGAAAAACCAGCAACGGACTGCGGATGCAGCGGCGGCGGCCTACGTTAGGCTCGAGTCACCGTCTTCTGTCACTGAGCCCAAGGCTGTATGTCCTGCTGAGGTCAGGGATGTGCCCCTTGACTTGTCCTCAAAGTCAAAGCGACAGAATGTGGATAGAGAGCCACAGAGGCCACCGAGGGGCTCAGAGCGCCAACATGCGGGAGCAAGCCTATCTGAGCCAGTCTCTCAGAAGAAGGCCCCAGCAGCCATCTTCGGGTCTGCCCCAGCCTACGCCATATACCCAGAAGCCCTCAGAAATGGAGTCCCCACGAAGCAGCCTGCCAAGCTGTTGAACCACCAGGTTTTGGAGCCTTCAGCGCCCTGGGGCAAGCTTGCGCCACAGGGTCCGATAGCCAGCATTGCAGGAACCTATGTGGGTGTGGCCAGTCCCATACTAGCCTCCACCCTGCGCAGCAAAGACGGCAAGTGTGCTGCATTTGTGGAAGACATCCAGAGCATTGCCAAGCAGGAGTCAATCTCCATAATTGACCAGGGGGAACAGCTTGCCTCCAGGGGAAAGAAAGGGACGTCTGTGAGCAAGGAAACGCAGCACTCCAGTGGTTCAAAGCTCTCCAACAGTGTAAGCTCACCTGGATCTCAGGTCTGTGTGTCCAAGGATCCATTCTCTGCAGCTTTGTCTGGATCCACCAGCTCACTCAACTCTGGTAAGCCTGCGGGTGGGAAAGCGGTTATGCCAAAGGCTTCCGCTGTCGACGTTACCTCGCGACCACAGGCAGGTCTGCTTCCCCACCAAAGAGCCTCGAAGCAGCAGAAGATCCTTCAAGGGAGTACCAAGGCACAGCTGGTGACCAGCTGTCATGGCACTCTGATTCATGGCCCCCGACAAAGCCCGTCCAAAGCAGATGAGAAGAAGTGGGAACCAGCCAAGTGTCCACTGTCAAACTTGGAGTCAATAGTGAAGCAGAAAGCACTGGAGACTACAGGGTTGGCCCAGGATGATAGTGGCACTCTGGACATGTTAGGCCTAAGAAAGCCTGAGGTAGAAAAGCTGCACATGGGTCACCAAGACGCCCCCTTTCGACAGGGCAGCGCTGGGGGTTTCCCGCCTTTCAGGTCTGTGAAGTGGAGGGATGGGACAATGGAAAGGGATTCCTCACAGAGGGATTCCAGTGCTGCCCGCAGGAGTGATGAAGGATGTGATGCAGAGCGAAGGGGTGGCATTGTGGACAGACAAGTTGGGCAAGAAGGGAACTCGGAGGGCAATGGCTTCCTGGATGCCAGCAGACCACCTACTCGTGCTGCCAGTACCATGGCTGATGGCCAAAAGAGGGTGCACGGCTTGACCCAGGAGGTTGATGGAGGAGTGGGGATGGGGGTGAAGCATTCGGGTGAGAGCCTTTCCCCTTGCGTAAAGCTGGAGGGCATCGCACTGTCCATCCTGAAGGGCCAGCGCAGTGTGATGACTGAGCTGGGCAGGAAGACGCCGGCATCCAAGGGAAAAGCCAGAGCGATCAAGGAGAAACGGCTGAGCAAGAACAACGTGGTGTCACCGGGTCCAACCAGACAGGCGGAGAAGGGGAGTCCGTCAGGAAGACAGGGACGCCAGGCCAAGAGGGTAAGTAAGTTTGTTTGTTCAATAGCTAGCGGATATTATTGAAATATAGTGAACAGGGTTGCAAAATTCTGTAAATTTTCTCTTTATTCCCATATATTCCCGGTAATTTCCATAGAAAGTTTCCAACTTGGAATATGTCCAAAATCCCTCTGCGTAACTTCCCATGGAATGGAAAGTTTCTGGAAATTTACCACCCCTTTGCAAACCTAATGATGAAGTTTCTTCCATTTAAACAATTTGTTCCTCGGGAGGAATGTCATGGTTCTCAATTTTGTTGAGCATCGATTTTATACAAGGTTTTAAAAAAGTCTGTTGCACGTGGCATGTCGACTGAAGTGCATGACATGCGAAGCATTTGGAGCTGATGAGGGGCCCATAGCCTGTAGACAGAGTGACCCAGTTCGTGAGCTGAGCTCGGTTTCCCCTCGTGTCGCAGCCGAGGAAGTCGTGGGCACCTGGACTGGAGCCATGCCAGACCCAGCCGACGCCACCTCCACCACCACCACCACCGCCACCATCCCAGCAGGACCGAGAGCAGCAGGAAGAGCTACGTGGGGGGAGGGGTGGCCTCCCCCACACCGAGGAGGGTAAGATGAACCCCCTGTATCCCCGACGGCTGACAGCCCCAGTTTCAGTGAGGATGTCCTAGAAACGTTAGCCGTTTCACTCCCTGTAACCACACAAAGTGTGGGATCCGCGAGGATTGGGGGGCGCCGGGTTCCAGGGATCGTGCCTGTTTGCTTGCCTGTACCTATGGCAGGTGATGCAGGTGAGCATGTTGTGTAGTGCTCTTGGTAGCTAAAGCCTGGGGTCACTTGCCAGGTTTGCGTGCCAGAAGGATCGTTTGCTAGAATCTTCCGAGTGCATCAACAAGGTGTTAAAGTCATGACTAATTTTTGTTCCATCCAGGTAACTTAAGTGGCCAGAATGCAGAAATGCCCAGCTCTACCAGTCCTGCCAGGGACATGGGGGACAATGACTCCCCCAGGCTGAGGAGGGGGCGGCGGCGGGGTGACCAAGCCCGACAGGCTGACTGGAGACCTCCCGGCCCGTCCCCTCCCATTGCCCCTCTGGCTGTGCGCCGGCCCAGGGGGAGGCCTCGCTCCAACCCCCTGCCAAGCCCGGCTGACCTGGGGGGCGCAAGTCTGTCCCCCTGTGCCGAGAGCGATGCTCCCGCCAACAAGAAGAGGAGGCGTCGTAGGAATCGGAAGTACCAGAATGGGGAGTACATCGTGGAGAAAGAGCAGGTCGGGGAGGCTGAGGCGGAGGAGAAGTCTGCGAACCCTCCAAAGGGCACCAAGGCTGGGGCAGGTATGGCCCAGATCACGTCTCCATAGCTGGGGCTCCTCATCACTGCATAGTACCGCTGGGGGGTCACACCACCTCATACTGCTTCTAGGGGAGGCGGAATGCTTTAATAGGAACCAGTTTCATTATTAGTGTCAAAATGTAGCTTCAAGTTCAGAGTAACATTTTTAAGCAGCAAATGTGTGGATATCTCTGCTGATGCCATTGTGTACTGTTTTGGACGATGCCACAAATCACTTGTAAGCTCTGCAGTGTTCTGCTGTGCTGTCTTAAACCCCGTCAGTGTAGATGAATGTTTGTAATCCTAGAGGCCTCTTTACTCTTTTGGGAATGTTGGTGGCCCCCATTGGCCTTGTGTCTGGGTCCCCTAACGACCGTCTGGGAATCCTGTGTTTGTGCAGACCTGAGGCCTGCCTCTTACCCACGGCTCAGCGCTGCCTCCGCTGCCTCCTGCTGCACCCCATGCCAGGAGCCCAACCCCCAGCGGGCCCTGCTCACCCGCTCTGGGTCAGTGCGCCACACAGAGGGCTGCTCCACCCCCGAGTCTGTGGACAAGCCTTCAGGAAAGCGGAAATTCAAGAGCAAACATTTGTGTGATGGAGAAGATGAAAAGAAGGTAGAGGGGTGGCTTTAAGAAAGTAATATTATTAATTGACCTTATTTGGTGATTTTTCAATCGTAACTTATTTAAAAGGTTTTACAAGGACTTGCCCTGAGTTGACGTGATCTGGGGTGCCATGCATAACGGTCTTACAGCAGCCTTACATCGCCCTCTGGTGGCAGTAATAGTTATTGAAAAAGGCTGTTTTTTTGTTGTTTTTTTTTTTCTTCTTTTTGTTCCCCAGGGTCGCCCGCGACAGCGGATCTATGGGCGCCAATCCGAGCTGCTGTCTCCGTGGTGACCTTTGCTGCTAACACCAATTCCACTTTCTCTGCCCTGTCACAAACCTTTCAGATTAAGGGCAAACGCAGCGGCTCGGGAAAGCGCTCCCCAGCCGGCCCTGATGTCGACAGCCCCACAGCAAAGAGAGCGGCAGGCCCCTGCGCCACCCCCAAGGTGCCGTCCTCTCCCATGGCCGGCAGGAAAGGCATGGCCCGGAAGAGCGGCAGTGCCCCAGAGCCTGCCAGTGCCCGGCCCGTGCCCCCCGAAGTCCGTCGGCTGATCGTCAACAAGAACGCGGGGGAGACCTTACTGCAGCGCGCAGCTCGACTCGGTTACCAAGTACGTGGCTCCTGCCATTGCGATCTTGCTGGGGGCGATGGCATGTGCTGGGGGCGGGGGGGTCCACTGCAAAGCCACCGGGCCCGTTTGGACGTGGTGTTTAGTTCTAACACATTCCCCAGGATTGATTGTTCCAGTGTGAAGTGAATTATCTGCACTACTTTCACATATTCAGCATTATTGGCCTGCATATGGACGAGCAGATGTTGAGTTAGATCCACCCCCCCACCTCCTGCAGGAGGTGGTCCTATACTGCCTGGAGAAGGATGTGCGGGAGGTGAATCGCCGCGACAACGCCGGGTACACCGCCCTCCATGAAGCCTGTGCTCACGGCTGGGCCGCCATCGTGCAGCTCCTGCTAGAGCATGGTGCCGATGTCAACTGCAGTGCCCAGGATGGGACACGGTGTGTACCAAATGGAGCGGGCCCTGGGGGGGGGCGCCGTTATCCTGGGAGGTGCTGCTAGCCTGCGTCACTGGGAAGGGATTCCGCTGGGTGCCAAGCAATCCGGTTGGGTGATGGTCGTCTCGTGGCTCCGCAGGCCGATTCACGACGCGGTTGCCAGCGACAACCTGCTGGTGGTGTGGATGCTGCTGAACCATGGTGCGGACCCCACCCTGGCCACCTACGCCGGACAGACGGCCGTGAAGCTAGCCCAGAGTCCCAGCATGCGGGCGTTCCTCGAAGGTACCCGTCTGCTCCACAGGGAGGGATGCTCTGGATGCGGAGTGAAAATAGCGCCTCCACATGGTGTTCTGTGTCACATCCATTATTTGCATTCCTAAGTATGTTTTACCCGTAAGGATCCCTACATTCAGTCACATAATCGGGTGTCAGGATAATGTGAAATTAAATTCTGGCCAGTACATGGCTTCCTAAGCCGGGAGCAGAAGCTGTGAGACTGACCAGCTAATGGTTTGTGTTGGGCGCTTGGAGGAAGGGGTAGTAATATTGGGCAGAGGCCCAAAAAACAAGTACCAGGGTTAAAGTTGACCTCCAGGGCACTTTCAGTGACTGACTAGAGGGTTGGGGGAGGAGCAGAAATGACCCCTCCCCGAGGGTGAGTGATTTGACAGTGGGGAGGGGTATGGTTTTCGGAGGGGATGGGAGATGAGGCCAGCTGTTGATTCTGGGCCCATTCTATTTAGAGTACTTTACAGACCTGGAGGCCAGGAATGAGGAGGACACCAGCCTGCCTTGGGACTTCTACAGCAGCACCGTGTTCGGTAGGAGCCGCCGCTGCTCCCGCCACCGCCGCCAGACCGAATGTCATCTTCTGTTTATGCTGCCCATTCTGTGCCGCGCTGTTAATCCTATCACAGGGCTCCCCTGGCGGCCCGATACCGGCACCCACACTGGCACTCTGACTGGCGCGTGCTGTCAGGCGCCTGGGCCTTTCTGCTCCGCCGAGCGTCTCTAACGCGCTCGGAGGACAGTCCTGGCTGCGGCAGGCCACGCCCAGCCAACAGCTATGGGGCTCCTGCTCTGTCAGGCGCGTCAGATGGCGAACGCCACTCGAACCCGGGGCCCCGCTGTAGGACGCGCCCCCGTGCGACACCGAGAAGGCTGTTTCTGTTTGCCGAGCAATCGCAGATGCGGCCTTCCGCGGCGAAACACGGGCACGGTCAATCTGTGTCCCCGGACTCCCGGGGCTGTGCCATCGCCAGTGACCTCGAGCGAATCGCCGACTCTGCGTCTTCACCTGCAGAGACCGATCAGGAGGCATGCTGGGAATTCCTGCTGTCTTTGCCCGAGGAAGCGAAGGAGGAGGGAACAGAAATGGCCACTGAGAAGGACCACTTCCTGTTCGAGTTCTCGGCGGATCCCCTCCTGCCCTGTTATCACGTGCAGGTGTCCCTGTCGCAAGGGTGAGTGAGCGGGCAGCTCACATGGCACCGGGCAGGGGGCACCAGAGTGGGGATGCTGGGCTGGGGGTGCTGGGTGGGCCGCTTAAGAAGCTGGACCCTGCTGGCGCAGAGTCCCTTCCCAACTCCGCCCCAGAACTGAAGCTGCTGTTGTAGCTTTTAATAAGAACTTCTGTTAATACGTAGGCATTTAAAATTAAGGTTTTTGTTAAACAAATGTAACACACCATTAGTCTAGAGGTTTCAAGCACTTTTTAAAAAATTATTTTAACAAATAAACATTATAAAAACACATATTGTTGCTGCACAAACAAAAACAATTAATACAGGTTATTATATGATTATTAGTGTAGTGTTGCCTAGTGTAAATTAAATTAGCCTTTTCCCCTTTGTTTCTGTAAGTAATGCAGCTCAAGCTGTTTCAGATAAATCTATACATGCGTATGAATTTTATCAGATTTATAATGCGGAGACGGAACGGAGCATTCAGTTATACTGAGAAGCTTCTGGGATTCCTGGACAGATGGGCTATTGTGTGCGATTGAGTCTGATGTAGGGAACAAAATGACTGCGTTTGTAACTCGCTGGACGTGGGGGAGGGAGGGGACCAGCGTGAAGGTCAGCCACTATCTCTCTGCCTCGTCTTTTGTTGCAGATTCTGCAACTGGTTCCTCCTGTCCGACGTCCTGAAGCGGCTGAAGATGTCGGCGCGCATTTTCCGAGCCCGCTACCCGCAGTTCGAGGTGGCAAGCGTCCCACACGCAGAGCTGCGCCGCCAGGTGGCCGTGAGCCAAGTGACACCGGTCCCCCGGGGACTGTTGAGAGGCGAGGGCGAGGAGGAGGACATGGAGGGGCCGGTTGAGCTGGTGCGGTGCGTTCCAGACTTGCAGGGACTGCTGGGCTCCACAGTCCAGATTCTAGAGGAGGAGAGGTCAGACACGGCTGGAGCCTGCCGTCGGTAGCCTAGGCTGCCTGCCCACCCCCCTAATCCTGACGTCCTCACAGCCCGTCTTCCCAGACCTTCCAAAGATGGGCGGTTGGGTGGAAGACGGAGAGCCAGGAGTCGTCTTTGAGGATATTTTGCAGTTGGATGAAACGGGGATTGGGGCTCCATTCCATGGAGAAGTGATCAGAACCAGGTCTGATCGGAACCAGCTCTAAACAGAACCAGCATTACCTGAAGGGGACAGTGTGGTACAAAAAGTGGGGATGCCGCACTTTTGAATCACGAGCAGAGAGGATATGTAGGGGATACACCTCACAATGCCTGCCTCTTTTGCACTGAGCATATTTATCGGTGCCCAATTACCAAGGCAGCGCCCCCTGGCTGACGGGAGGGGTCAAACACAACTCGAGGGTAGAAACTTTCAGGTTTCAATCCAAGTATTTTTCAGTATTCAGTAAATGTTTAAAGACCTTTTATATTCATATGTACATATATTGTAATATGTACCACTTGCCATCAGGGTGAACACATTTTCAGTTGTTGAATGTGTTATTCGTCTAGGGGGAGGGATGTTTCTCTTTTTGCCCAGTTATTTTTGTGTTCATCTCTGAGAGCAGCGCTGGTAATCCTTGGCTTTCATCTTGGTGGACTCTCGGATGCAGCTAAGAGGCTTAATCGCTGTTAGCCATAGCGGGAGGCCCGCTGGAACATATGGTCCCTTGAACCTGTCAGCTACCTGCTCTGGGAGGAGCCTATGGACCCGGTGCACGCCACGCCATACCCGCTGCTCCCCCCGTTCAGCGTTTCTACACCAAAGTCATGCTCCCCTGTCCCTCTGTCTTCATCTTTCCCATTTTCCGGCTGTGTTTGCAACAACCACTGAGACATGTCTGCTCTCCTCCTTACACTACATCTGTTCATGACGTCCTACTGAAAATCAGCAAATGAACTTTTTTTTTTTTTTTACCCAGAGTGCCCTCCATCCTTCAGTTGTGTGTGGTCAGAGACCCTTACATTTAATCCTGTGGCAAATTTTTTTTATTCTGGGAAAACTGCGTGACTAAGAAAAAATGTCTCCCCTGCACATGCCATGACTGCAACCCCGTCTCGCTCCAGAGGGCTTGTGGGAAAGATCAGTGGCCTCTCGCTGATTGGCCCTTGATGTTGTAAAGGACTCCGCCCTGGTGGGAGGAGCATGTTTTATTTCCACTGTTTTTGATTGGTGTACTTGCTTAATTTAATAGACTTTGTTATTAATATATTTGACCTCTTTGTGTATCTGGGAAAAATGATTTAAAGAGATGCTTTATATGGTTGGTTGGTGCTTTATTTGAAATGTACAACTCGTCCCTTATTCAGAGCTGTTTTGTCACCCCTTGCGTACAATATCTTCGACGAGCAAAAGTACAGTTTTATTGTACTGGTGCTAAGCTAGATTTTGTGTTGACAATCAATGAAGTTTTTTTTTCTTTTTGTTGGACATTTTAGATGAAGTTTTGTTGGACGTATAGACAAATAACTTATATTTATAAGAGACCTAGAAATGTAAAAGACAGTTAACTCATCCTCTCTACCTGTGGCATAGTTCTGATGAGTAGGATGGCGACTCAACTTGAAACTTGGGTTTTTGTGAAGATGCAGATGTTCTGGCTTGAATAAGCTGTGTTGTAATAGGAGATGAGCGTTAAATGATTTTTTAATGAAATCAACCAGAATAAAGCATGAACGGTGCTTCTTCTGTGTACTTTGTGTGTCTAAAATGGGGGGGGGGGGTACCTCGCTGGACATCTCTGCCTGATCAGCCACCAAAAACCTACATCTAGGACTGATGTCCCCTGGCAGTGGGGACGCCCAGTGTTGTGACTTTTTTTCTGCGTGGTCCTTTTCAGCCGCTGATACAGACGTACCGACTCTTTTATTAGATGGGCCTACTGGGCTTAACCCTAACCAGTATCGGGTAGATGAGTTGCATGTTAAGAAGAGCCTTTCTCTACACCACTGTGGAACTTTCAGCACCATCCTGTTAGCTTTTATGAGGCTGTTCATTCTCTCTCTCATTAAGAAGGTGTTTTCAGCCACTTTCAGCAGCAAGATTTTAAGGTAGTAACAGAACCTAATGTCTGAGACAAACAAGAAATTAATCAAAACAATGTGCTTTATGGCTACACTGAAAAAGCAACTACTGATATTGCAGATGATTGAATGAATACACTTACATGAAAGTAAGGCCAGGCTTAGCTCACGTGCTACTCTAGGCAATTGTTCATTGTTTAATGTTTTTGTGTAATGCTATATATGATCTTTTTATATAATGATATTAAGAAATAATTGCTACTAATAATAATAATAACAACAGTAATCATCATCATCATATGAAAGAGGTGCTTTGAAATTCTGTGTCGGTACTGCAGAGGGCGCGAGTACTTCTAGAGGCGCGAGCTAGCCAGTTTCACTTCGTCTGGGACGTCGCGCGCCGCTCCGACAGAGACCAGCTGTTTGCCGGTCTGCACCCTCCTAGGCAGACTGATACTGCATTAATGAAAGCTGAGATTATATTCCGGGTGTTGCATTGCCTTATTCTGCGCCCTTGTGGGTTTACGAGGAACGTATTTGTCCCAGCTTTTCATTGGGATTTTATTTATTTGTAATAATAAATAAAATCTGTCCTCTCAGTTACCATAAGCATGTTACGGTATTGTAGTAAAATTTCCTTTTTAATGTAAAATCACTCAGCAACAGGATCCGTAAGAAGGCAGTCTCTTCGCGGAATGAGCTGCTTGATGCTTTAGATGAAACGTCATAGAGCTCTGTGGAGACCACCGGTACCTCAGATGGTCGACACTGGACTCGTTTGCATCCTTTTCTTACGCCATCTAACTTAAAGTGCACGCCGCAGATCCTCTAGATGGAGCCAACAATTCAGATACTAAAATCTGTCCGGGTTTTATGGAATGAGATGTTTTAGATCGCTGCGAAAAGTAAACGCATCTTGCCTGGAATTACACATGATGAAACCCAGGGCGCCTACTCGCTCAGACCCGGTTCCATGTGCTCGTCACGCCGGCCCCGCGTGCTGCCCCCGTGTACTGCGCGCTGTTTGCACTGTTTGTCAAATGTGCTTTTCCCAGTTTAGTGCGTTTGGGTAACCCAATTCAATCCTATCTTTAAAAAGGAGAGTGATGGGCATCTGCCTATTTATAGAAAGCTATTTTTAGACCGCTCCGTAGATAAACAAAAAGTCAAAACGTACACGTTCGTGTTTTTGTCGGTTTTACTTTTCCTGTTGCATCAACTGCTTCGAGGTTACTTATTAATTGATTTTATTTTTATGGACGCTGGAAACGCTGATAATCCAGAACTTCTTGCACTGGCCGGAATAGATGTCGCCCCCCTAAATCAATACAGCACAAGATTCTTGTTTACAAGCGCTTGGTGACAGGCACGGGACCTGTAGCAGTGCTCACGGTGCTGTTAATCTGTACTGCTCCGTAACATAGCCTACGGTTATGAAGTTATAGGGGCAGTGCATTCATTTTACTGTCAGATTAATATTGGTAAACAAGTCAGTTTCAAAGGGGGGCATGTACGTTGTTCATATCAATTTGTAGGACAAATGTGGCTTTTATTTTATTCTCTTGGTATATCAAAAGCACATAGGAAAAAGTTGTATATAGGCCTTTTTTGCTCTGCTGAATCAGTTCTTCCCCAGAAACCTTGGCCCGTGCAGGATGGTATGTATCAGATTCTCATTAGCACCATAATAGATTATGTGTTTTCATAATTTGGCGTAAACAGGTGTCCACCATTACTGGATATGGAGTTTTCCTGAATATGAAGTTACTCAAGGTCGACTCTTTTGGGGGGGGGGGGGGGGGTTAATATTCTTTGCTCATAAACAGCTGTGCAGCTCTCCACCCCTGTTGCACATGAGCTATCAACGTGACTGTACCCCCTAGAACAACGTGACCAATAGTAGTGGGAATGGGAGGACGTGGGGCACGCCAGACGGGGGGGCACGCTGCCAGTGAGTGTCCTGGGAGGACCTTCACATTTTGATTCCTTTTTTTAGCTCCAGTGCAATGACAGAACAGCACTTCTGCACGGAACGGCTCTCTCTGGCCTGCCCTGGTGGGCGCCCCCTTCCCGGTGCACACTGACCAGGACTGAGATGCCTGCACTTTGCCTCTTACATGCTCTTTTCCATTATCTTGTTCATGATAGACTCCCAGGTTGACTCTGCCAGGCACTTGCTTCTGTACACAGAAATGGCTGTTTTAACCTCATTACTTAAAATGCTTAATGTTCTGAAAGTCTCCAGCTTTCTTCCTAAAATGATGTGCATGGAGTGCTTTTTATAAAGAATCCTTATTAGATTATTCTCAACTTGTTCATTTTGAGCCTTTCAAAGCTTTGAACTTTGGTACTCATATAAGATCAGTGCTCAGAAAGTCTTGGTTGCAAAATATTACTGAAAAGTTACTGGTTTCATAACAAAAGGTCATTGACAGACAGTGTTTAACATATCTGTACATACCTTCTGCAAAGACATTTTATTACGTTTCCTAATTTTTTTGACAGTGTCATTCAGTTGTCGTTTTTGGCTCCCAAAGGGATACTAAACACAAATGTTTGGTGTTTTATGTTACTGCAAAGGTGTTACTAATTAAAAAGCACCCAATGAGACTGCTTGCCAATGAATGTTTTAACTCTGAACAGCTCATCTAGAACTAAAATTTGGATTTCAATTTATTAATACTTGAAATGAATGTTTTACTTAAAGCTACTGTTTTTTTTCTAATGTGATATATATTTTTGTAAACAAATAAATAACATAGTGATTTTTGTTATAAAATCAATAAATTTACAATATTTTTCTGAATTAAGCAAGCAGCCCAAGTTTAACTGGTTTAATGCTGGTTTTGGCAGAGTGCTGACACCTTTGGGACCCTGAGCAAGGCCTTAAACCCCCGTTCGCTCTATGGACTGGCTGACTCTACTCTCTTTGGTTAAAGGTGTGGAGACATGGTCCTTGTGTCTCAAAAACAGGCTCAAATGAAGCCCCATGATGAATGGAAATTTGACAGGAACAGTGGTCTGACTTGCAGCCTTAATGGCTGTTGTTCCAGTCTGAGAGGGGAGATGCAGCACCGGTTCCACTGAGTCATACGACGTTCCTTCGCGATCTGATTTTATAGGAACATAGAATGGTGACTGGATTTCCAAGCCTTTTCCTGGACCTATATGCTGTTTTGTTTAAAAACACAAGGAAGTAGGAAGTAGACCAAGTTAATGCTCCTTCCTTAGACCGCTGTCTTCCAAGTCCACGGACTTTGCCCGTTTGAGACAGGCTGTACGAACTACACAGATCAGCCTGATGGGTTGCAAATTCCGCAGTATCACCACAGTACTGTCACACCTTAAATGGTAACTCACGTTTTAACGTTGTTCCAGCTTCATGTCTGCCTCTGCCTCTAGAAGAGCCCAGTAAAGTTCTGTTAATTCTTTACTATATTTCGGTCTGGGCTGGTTAAGCTAGACGCACATTGATAGCAGTGTCCAGCTTACAAAAGCCCTTTTGCTTGTGACTGTCCATTTCTACTATTCAGGTCAGATAGTCAACGTGTTGCCATTATCTGCTTTATCTGTAATAAATAACCAATTACTGTGAATGACAGACCATAAGAAACAGGGAACAAAAAAACAAAAGCCAAAGGTGATGCAGTGTGCGGCTCAGCAGGATTAGTCTCCGTGCTTGTGATTGAACGGTTGCTGGTTTGAGCCTCACCAGAATAAGTCACATCTCTGTTGGGCCTTTGAACGAGGCCTTTAAGGCCTCCTCAGAATACTCCAGGGGTGTCTGACCATGTACTCAGGCTCCAAGCTTTATTCCGAACTGCTTGTAAATATACATTGATTGGTTATAACATTAAGAGCACCTGCTTATTATTGCGGAGGCCCCCTCATGCTGCCAAAACCACTCTGATTTGTCGAGGCATGGACTCCACAAGACCTCTGAAGGTATCTTGTGGTATCTGGCATCAAGACATTAATAGTAGTTGTGAGCAAGTCGCGAGGTGGGCCTTCTATGGCTTTGATTTGCTTGGTCAGCACATCCCTCACATGCTCGACCGGATTGAGATTTGCAGCCGACGTCAACACCTCAAACTCTTTTTCATGTGCCTCAAACCATTCCTGAACAAATTTTGCAGTGTGGCACATGAGGAGAGCATGCGATGACGGCACGATGCACACGAGGGACTGGTTTTGAGTGAGAAGACGTCTTAGGGTTCATTACTCACAATTAAAGGTGAAAGAGGACACTGCCATCAGTTATTATTGTTGCCATGAAAGTGGGGGACTTGGTCTACAACAATATTCAGGTAAGTGGTGTGTATTAGAGTAACATCCACATGAATGCTAAAACCCAAGGTTATCCAGCAGGACACTGCCAGAGCATCACACTGCCTCTGCCGGCTTGCCATCTTCTCATAGTGCCTCCTTCTTCCATTGCCCCATGGTACAGATATCCCATTCCATACTAGAGTTGATGCCAGAGTTGAGAATAAGTGAATCAATGTTGATTACACTTTTCGGAGTAAATCATCAGTCATGAGTAGAATGTGGTTTGGAAATGAGAATGTATGGCTCTGCTCTCCCCGAAGATCTGATGGCTTCTATACTCCTTTTATTTTGGCCGCAGGCTCTAGTAAGAGACGCTGGTTGTTGAGAAAGAT